GTTCCCCGGCCGGAGAATCGCCGCACGGAGGCCTTTCGGGGAGGCTGGGTCGTCGCGGGTCCCTGTGACCACGGGGGTGCCGCGGGGTGTCTTTGCAGATTTTATCTACGGAAAGGGGAAGGGCACTAAGCCAGGAGCCCAGGAGATACACTTAGGAGGTAGAGTACTTCGGTAATCCCTCCTTTCTCTGCCCAACACGAAGCTCCAGGTGTATGCCCGGGGCAGGGCTGTCCACGCCACAGCACGGGCCTGCCGAGCGCACCGTAGCCGCCAGAGCAGGTGGGGTGGACCCACGGGGTGGGTCCTGGCCCTGGGGCAGAAGGACGCAGGGTCCACCCTGAGGCGTGAGGGACGGCAGGGAGTGGGAGGGTGGTCACTCCTAGGAGTCTGAGAGGCCCCGGGGCTGGGATCGGGCCAGCGTCGCACAGGGTGGCGTCGGGGCTCGGACGGTGGGTGGGCTGGGCGATGGGTGGGCTGAGAGGGCCGCAGTGTGGCTGGTGAGGTGGTGGGGAAGCGTGAGGCGGGGAGAGGAGAAGGAAAGGGGTGGGTGAGGAGGGGAGGGGCAGAGGCGGGTGGTGATCCCCAGCTTGGGGGCCTTTGGAGCTGGGACAGCCCGGTGGGAGTGCAGGCACATCCTCCCCGCCCGTGTGGCCTCTGCGCCCGAGGAGTGGGAACCGCGGGGTGGGGTGGGAAGGAGAGGAAGTACCTGTGTCACGGGCCAGCGCTGAGGTCTGGGCAGCGACTCGCGTGGCGTTCCCTGTTTTAGGTGGCGTCGTGTCCGGGAAGAGAAGCGAACAGGGAGTCCCCTCTGGACGAGCTGGAGGCTTCACACGGGAGGTCTTTGTCGCTCTTTCAGATGAGAAGCTTGCGGACCTGGAGGAGGCAAACCCATTCTCCTTTAAGGAGTTCCTGAAAAGCAAGAACCTCAGCCTGCGGAAGGAGGACGCCGCCCACAGCCGGCTCCACACACAGGTCAGCCGCCGTTCCGGCTCCCCGCGCCGCGGGC